CATGATACGGCCGAGATCGGCCGCACAGAGGACTAAAATCCCCAAAAAGCGGTTTTACGTGGTATTTTTAAAATTTTAAATTATAATATATTAAGTTATAATATATTAAGTTATAAAATATATATAGTTAGAACACAGCATATGCTGTGGTTAGAGCTAAAAAATTATTAAAGTTTAATGGATGTAACTCATAAAGATTTTAATGACAACTACGGACCGTGTAACAACATTATTAAAGATATTTAAGAGTAAACAATAGTAAATTTTCGATTTACTTTGAATTTTTTAAATTTACTTATACAATTGGAATAGATCAAATAGGTAAAATTTTCTACCTTAATATTGATGAGGTATTAATAAATATAATTATATTTGAGGTAAACAAGAAATGTTTTAAAGTTAAGGTATGTTTAAATGAGGTAACAAATAAAAATACGTTATAATATTTATTTTATTTTTTTATTGATATAAATGTTAAGAAATGATGGCAAATTGATAATTATTTGTGAAGAACCTAGTAGTATTTACAATGGATTTTAAATCAAAATTATAAATTAATAATATACTTGATTTACTTTAATTTTAATCCACTGTGCGCAACGTTCTTTACGATACGACAACTTCAATGCAAATTAATATTTTAAGAGCTGGTCACTGCGCTTTGATTGGCGTATACGTTTGACGTCTCATGCTAGATTTGCCGAGTTGTACTCGGTAACTTTTGTCCCGCCCGTCACAATTAAAAATTGAGAGTAAAAACCACAAGTTATAAAATTAATATTTTACAATATTATTTTTATTGTGCTTATAAGCTTATTGGCAATATTTTGAAATAAATTTTATAATGTGTACTTTTTACTCACAATTTTTAATAAAATACCTGAGTATCGTGGAATGACCCAGCGTTAGTTTTCAAATTTTTCTGTAAAAATAAAAAAAATTTCCCTGAAAATGGACTAACAACCATTTAAATCCAATAAAGAAGCAGTTGTTTACAGTGAAAGTGAAGAGGATGTTTTATGGTTATCCAACAAACATTTTGTAATGCTTTATCGACAAATACTAGTTTACTGCGGTCGAAACTATAGGTCAGTACAAACGTGTAAATAAACTTTCTAATGATTGACAAAAAGAAACTATTAAATAATTTTGCATTTTTGTATTGAGATAATAAAATAATTTCTACAATTAGTATTATTTCACAATTTTAGGATTGTATGACATTGGACAACTGTCAACTAACTTAAAGCTAACTTCAGACCCTGACTAAAAATCTCGAAAGCCACTGCTGCTAACTTCAGCCATACAGCTTGTCAATGTGTATTTAAAAAAAATTACTTATTGTCATTAAAACATGTACGATAATGGGCGTTTTAAAGGTGGTAGTAGAAAAATTATGTTATTATATTTTATAAAACTCAATATTGGTCATTTTACGCCAAATATTCAGTCAAAATTTTAAGACTTAAACTGTCGATCGATATTATAAGCTTATTAAAAGCATAATAAACAATATTTTAAAATAAATTTAATAACGTGTAGTTTTTACTCACAATTTTTAATTGTGACGGGCGTGACAAAAATTACCGTGTAAAGTGGAATGTCCCAGGTATTAAATACATCTCCTATACAACCGATGTCTTTAATTAATGCATATATTATATCGAGACACTAAAAAATTATTGCATTTTTTTTCTTCTATGCACTTATGGCTGTAGAAGTGCTTTATAAATGTTTGTTAACTTTTACCACAAAGTTTTGCAATTATAAACAATAATTTTGACTGTATCCAACCTTAATTATCAATCTGTCATTTTCGTACAGAAGATACGGCAACACTGGATTACGAACATGTGATTATCCATAGATATGTTGTTTTATTTATTTGGTGACTACCATAATTTCGTTTTTAAAGTAAATTATTAAAAAACACAATTGTCTTAAGTTATTGATTAAATATTATTTTTTTTAAATAATTAGACAATCCTTCTACCTTGTCTAATTTGCTTCTCTTTGTTCTCTGCTCTTCTCTTTAGACTTTCGCTGCATTCAACATACTGCATGTTTTTTGTTCCCATACCTTTTTTTAAAACTTTTTTTTTGGTAAACCCAATTCTTTTTTACAACTCATTTTAAGATTAACAATGCATATAGAACGGTTACTGCCACTGACAAAATCGAAAAGTGTTACCATAGAAACCAACTATCAACAACTCGCAATGTTGTCGATTGTAATTCCTATTTTTGACGTTTTTTTTTATATGTATTAATATAAAAAATAATTATAAAATCTGTTAGAAAATTGTCTGTTTTTAAAATTACATGTAATAATAATAATAGGTATAATGACAAAATATTTTTTTTGCATTATAAAAGCAACTCCCCTTACCATTTTCTAGGCTATACCAAATGCAAAAAAACATTGTATTTTATATATTGAAACCGATGTTTTTAATGTATTGATGGTTTTCCGGGATCTGCTCCGTGTTGTCGGTTTTTGGTTCTAAAAAGAAACGTATGTCAAAAGAAGTTTCGGTATAATCTTATGTACCATCTTCAGGTCCTATATGCTGGGATGTTGTATTTAATCTTTTATTAGACTTTAGTTGAGGTAAAATTATAAAAAATAAAGAAAGATTAAAAATTCAATATCTAATCTAATATCTAATCTATTATAATTGAACAAATTTGTTGAACACAAATAACTTTTTTTGATAGTAAATAAAACAAAATGGAAAAAAATTGAGATGTAATTACATAATTACTCTTAAGTGTTATTTTCTTTCTATACGAAAATAATTATTTTTCCTTAAAACAATTTTTAAGACGTAAAAAAGTATTAGTTTAATAAAATAAGTCATAATTTCATACATTTGCAAGTTTGAATACCTTCAGAACGGCTTACTCTATGAAAAAATAATTTAGAACTTTTTTGTAGAGCGTTCAATTTCCTACCAAAATAATTTTTCAGTTCGTTTTTACAATGCTTAAATGTCAAGCTACAAAAATAAGAAAAAAGAAATTTTTTTGCCATGTTATTTAAATGGAAAATGGAAAGTTAGGAACAGGCACCACTTAATGTAATTATTAAAAGCTCAAATTTTTAGAGGCTTCTTTTTTCACCTTCCTGAAAGGTTTTAGCCTGATTTTTAGTTCAAAATAAAAGTTGCTCAAAAATGACACACCCTTATATGTATATATATTAGGGTGTTTCAAAAAAATTGACTTTTTCTTTTTCTTCAAATGGTCGGCAAATTCTTTCAGAGGATGTCAACACAAAGACCTCGTCAAAATTTGAGCTTTTAATTTGAAGATTTAGAGGTCGCGGATCGCAATTTTCTATTTCCCATTTAAATAACATGGGAATTTTTTTTTTTTAACTTTGAAATTTTATACGTCTGAATCAAATCAACTTATGTCAAGGATCATCTTAGATTTTCATAGTAAATTTAACGCTCTACAAAAAAGGTCTCATATCATTTTTCTATAAATTGATTCCTTCCAGAGTTATTCGAGGCCAAAGTTTGATTTCCATCGAATTTTCGCGTTTTTTTAACATTTATGGTACAATTATCATTATACGGGTGTCCCGAAATCAGGGGGCCAAACTTAAACAGTGCATTATTCGTATAAAAATAACACTTTTTTTGTTTAATAAACATGTATCAAAAAATGCTCCCTAAAGGAGCTACGGCCCCCTGAATAGGAGCCTAAGAGGATAATTTTTTTAAAACTATTCCTAGAGGGTTGAACATGAACAAATGAATTTTCGGTAGGTAGGTACTTTGGTAATTTTGACATGCTGAATCTAGATCTATGATCAAAACTGTTAAAATTTAATCATAGGCGTAACATTTGGAGGGGGCAAAGTTACAAAAATAGCCCAAACTTTTTTCTGGGTTAATAATTTTTTATGAAATTATGAGAATTTATAGTTTTTTACGAAAAATAGGTACTCTTGATTTGAATTGCTCAGATGCACCATTTTCGAGAAAAATGCATTTATAAATAAATTACTTTGCATATTATACACATCTCATATTTTCATTAAAACTTTGTAGTAGGCTTTGGAAAAAAGTGACGTTTTTTTGTTTTTTTTTACAACACTTCCTATGTTTCAGATATAAATATGTGATTTTTTTACTACATGATGCTAAAAGTTGAAAAAACGAGAAAATTCGATGGAAATCAAACTTTGGCCTCGAATAACTCTGGAAGAAATCAATTTATAGAAAAATTATAAGAGACATTTTTTATAGAGCGTTAAATTTACTATAAAAATCTAAGATGTTCCTTGCCATAAGTTGATTCGATAAGGACGTATAAAATTCCAAAGTTAAAAAAAAAAATTTCCTATGTTATTTAAATGGGAAATAGAAAATTGCGATCCGCGACCTCTAAATCTTCAAATTAAAAGCTCAAATTTTAACGAGGTCTTTGTTTTGACATCCTCTGAAAGAATTTGCTGACCATTTGAAGAAAAAGAAAAAGTCGATTTTTTTGAAACACCCTAATATATATATATATATATATATATATATACACATATATTATATACTTGCTTAGCAACCACGTATTTTATTATACTATTAAATCCAATATAAATTTTGTTGGATCCAAATTTGACTGTATAATAAATGTGCTCACAATGTAAAGAATTTTCATAGGATTTAAATAGTATAACGATGTACCTATTATAATATACAATGTAAATTTATTTAGATGCAAACGAATTAATGTGGCTTTTAAATTAAAACGATTCAACTCGGTTTAATGCGCAACTGTACTTCTAAACAGTTTATTGTTTGGTTTAAAATGCTTTGTAAAATTTTTCTTGGTAAATAATCTTGCTTTTATTGTATTTCAAATTTATTTAATTTATTTTTCACAATCCTACTTTATTTTTTTGTAAAGTAAGATATATGACTAACCATTTGGGGTAAAGTGAAAGTTCAGTTTGCAAAAATAGTCATTAAACATTGTTCTTTTTTCTTTTGCAGTATGGTCGAGCTCCCATTCACTGGGCTTCTTCCAGGGGGAATCTGGATATTATGGAAATGCTTATTTCTGCAAATTGTGACATTGAGGCCAGAGATAAGGTATATATTATTATATTACATTAATTTAAGAACGTTCGATTAAGTTAATTTTCTGAAGACACTATAATATATTATATCGAGGGTTTTGAGAATTTAATAGTGATTGTTAGAGACCGGATTTCATGTAAAATGCCCATTATCAATTTTAATATGTGGTTAAAAAGTCATATTGCAAAATGTTTTTTACCTAAATGCTTAGGAAAAATATGCTTTTTTAATAAAAAAAATGGTTTTTTTAATGCATTCAGCAGAATAGTAAGTGTTGCTCCAAACTATGCGCTCCAATGTGACCACCTAGATTTAAAACAAACACATTTTTCTAGTTAAAAATTTACAACAATATTTCACAAAAACATTTAAATTACCATATAGAACCTAATTTCAGTTTTAATAAAATTTTAATAGATTTGATGTAATTTTTATTTTAAATTTATTTTTCTACTCCCACCTTTAAAACGCCCTTTATCGTACATGTTTCCATGACACTAAGTGACCTTTTAAATACACATTGAGAAGTTGTGGGTTTATGGCGCTTTAGTCACGGGCTGAAGTTAGTTTTAAGTTAGTTGACAGTTGTCAAATGTCATACAATCGTTAAGAAAGTGCCTTTCTTGTAAAATAATACTAAATGTGAAAATTATTTTATTATCTCAATACAAAAATACAAAAGTATTAAATAGTTTCTTAACGCCAATATTTGAAAAGTTTATATGAACTGTACTGACCTTTAAATTTCGCCGGCAGTAAACTATAACTTAAATTCGGGCACGGACTCCACTCTAAAGTGCTCATAAAACATTTTCTTTACTTTCACTGTGAAAAACTGTCAATTTTCAAGAAATTCATTTCGATTCATAACTTTTATAATCTGTTTAAAAAATATAAAAATTTGCTCTATACACTTTTTTATTTAAATCATTTTAAGGTAATAATAAGTAGATATTTGTCATAGAAAAAGTATAGTATGCACCTCGTTTATAAACTTTTCTATACACTCACTAATTTAAGAACTCGCTCACTTAAATTCGTGTATAAAATGGCGTTTATCAAACTTGATACATAATATACTATTATTTGATTATGTAGATCATGATTTATGACATAAATAAAAATGCAAACTTTTGAAGTCAGAAAAAAAAATAAGTGTTTATACATAGCAATAATAATGTATTGTTATTATTATACTTTAATTAGAACCAATTGTGACTTAACATAAATATTGTAATAAAGCATAAATTCATTGAAGTATTTTATTGCAAAATATCCACAGGACTTTTGTTTTTGTATATTGCAGAAAAAAATAGCTTTATGGTAAAATTTAAATAAAAATATAAATTCTGACACACACAATAAATATATTATTGTGGGTATCATGTTTTCTGCACAATGAACTTTTCTCATTAAGCTTATGCAAATAGGTACCAATTTAAATATTTACATACAAACGCAATTACCGATAAAAATAAAGTTGCAGCAGTATGCACGCTTTAATTTCCACCAATGTTTTCCATCTTTTTTTATTGTATTATACCCGCTATATTAATAATGAAGTTATTATTATTATTTTTTTATTTGAAATATATAATAAAAGCTAAGGTTTATTAATTTATTTGACTTCGACAGACTGTCTAAAAATAATTTTCCAACCATCGATGCATCGTAACGTAAAACTAATATGGTCAAAAATTTATTAATGGTAAAATATTAATTTAGTTTAAAATAATATTAATAAATATTAGCGAACAAATTTCATAATAAAAAAACTTTTTATTTAATTTTAGTACTTATAGGTACCCTATTTTTTTAAACAATATAAATTATTAAGATAAAAGATAAGTAGTTAAAATTCCGCGTTGTAAATTTTTTCACTTTCGTACGTGGAAATATAATTTTGCATAATGTTATGCAAAATTATATTCAACAGACGTGTATGTTACAACAAAATCTGAAATTGTATTTTATCTTTAAACATTCTATAATTTAAGGTCATAGGCTGTAACAAGTTTTTTTAAATCCTAGTCGGTAAAAAAAATCTGCTGACAGCTCTGGCTATCTAACCTCACTTTATACTTATAATAAGTGTTATTATAATTGTATACTTAGATAAGTTGTATGCCATTCGGCTCATTTGAGCTCAGCACAAAAACACTTACTTCTCACCGGCCTCGGTGGTGTAGTGGTCAGAGCTCCTGGGTACGAGCCGAGAGGTCGTGGGTTCGAATCCCACTTGGGTATGGTTGTTTATTTGTGTTTGTCCATTGTGTATAGTCCTTCGGAGGGGACTTTAAGCCGTCGGTCCGTTCCTACCCCTAACCCGCACAAGCCATTCAGTTGGCTTATGGGACATCTTAGTTTGGATGTAAGGGTGGAGGAAAAGAGCACTTTATAACTTTATATAACTTTAGCCTTATGACATAAATAACTATTTTTAATTAAATTAAATTTACACAGACAATAAATATGCAACAAATAATAGTGTATGTATAAAGGATAATTAATAGGTTCTTGCGTTCTTAGCCTTATGACATAAATAACTATTTTTAATTAAATTAAATTTACACAAACAAAGAATATGCAACAAATAATAGTGTATGTATAAAGGATAATTAATAGGTTCTTGCGTAAACTCCACCAAGTATCCAAAAAGTTTTCTCCTATTAGATATAAATTATAAAACATTAGAAAAATTATGCATAAACAAAACTAAAATATTTTCATCTTGCTCGGTATCTTGAAAACAATAATAAATTGAATACGCTTAAGAAGCATTGCTAGTAGCGCCACCACGTGTTGTGTTGTTGAGTGTTTTTTGAGAGGAAATCCTGTTTAGACTTTTTACCGGTAAACGTTGGAAATACGAATAAAGAAATAAATTGCATACAGTCCCTGTAAATATAAATTGTACCCATTGAATACATTTTAGCAATGATTTACGTGAAATTTGTAAACATTTCAATTCCGTTAAAATCACAAATCAAGTCGTCTAAATTCAAACAGCGTTATGAATTATAAAAAGCGTTGATTGGGAAAGTCTTTACTCAACGGCAAAAAAACAAAAACGGGTATTATATTATGTATTATATTTAATAAGATTATGTTTGTACAACTACTATTTTTTGTTAGATTTCTTAAAAATGTACAAACTTAAATATAAATTTTATTAGGTAGTTATTATTAGTTAATTCCACCAATAAATATACGTACCGAATTAAATTCTTAAGAAAAACATGAAAATGCAACGATTTGGTTCTTGAATTACATTTACAATTAAAAACACAATAATTCACCATGATCACTTAGATAAATTACACACACTAACTTAACTATATAAGCGTTGAGTTTCCTATAGGAAACTCAACGCTTATATAGTTATAAATTATAATCAATGATATAAGGAATCGAATCGAGTAGCGTATTTATTTTACATTTATTTTTTTTTCAATATTTTTATGTATAGAATACACCCTTAATTTTTTTTACTTTCCTCTCGACTTACCCTGGATATAGGTATGTAAAATATACTAAAATAAATAAAAATAAATTTAAAAACTCACAAAACAGGTAATAATGAGGTAATAAAAAGATGTAAAAGAAGCAAAAAATACACAGAAAAAGTTATTGCTCCTAAATATATTGATATTTATTATTTATTGCATTATATACTAATTTGATTTATTTAACGTTATTGTAGTATGTATACTATGTATACATTTAACCCAATAAATTCTTTGACATTTAGGCAAAATGTTTCCCTATTTTGGTTTAATAGTAATTAATTGAGCAAATAACAATTTAGATTGCTTCAATTTGAATGCATTCAATGACAGCGCTGTTCTTGGTACTATGTTAGATTTTTTTATGTGTAGTATATTGTGCGAGTAGTGGGAGAAAGGAAAGATTCCTCAAGCGAGTGGAATCTCCTAGGAGATCTTTTAATCAATCCCAACTACCACAAGGAATTACGGCCAATTTTATTTGATAATTTATATGAAATCCGATAGCTGTTAAGTATCTTTAACCTAACTAACGAAGGAAAATTTCGCCCCCCGGTTAAATTTAAGAAATAAAATGGGTGTTAAATAATATAAAACCGTGAATTGTAATATTTGTTGCATAAATATTTGTTTTTTACTAAAACTAAAATATTTACGACAAACCATTTTGTACGCAAAATAAAACAAAATTGCATATTACGACAAAAAATGCATTAGCTTCATGTGGAATTCACCATTCTACCACAATTCCTACCGCTTTTTATACTTTTCAGCATTTCACTGAAACGCAAACATATATTTTTGCAAAAATGTTATGCGGGTTATAATAAAATATTAAAAGCCATATTTGAAATTGCTTGGTACATACCCTTCTTACACTATACCCAATGGACCATGATTTTAACTGCAGAATAACTTAAATAAATTTCACATTTGTGTGGTAAAATGCCAGGCATATTTTATAATATTATAGAATAGTATACAGGGTGTTTCTACTCGAAATGAACAACGTAACAATGGTTGTATTCCCATCAAGACTGACACTTTTTTAAAATAATTGGGTCAGAATTTCTCAAACGGGCCACCGGAATTAGGTCAAAATTAGTTTTTGTTTGTAGATACATTTTTTTGATAGTATTTTACATCACTAACACAAATCCTAAAGGATTTTGTAAAAAAAAAATTTTCAATTGACATATTCATATATTAAAAGTCAAAGTTTTTAATAATTAAAAAATAAAAAAAATCATTATGGCTGAACTAATTATCCGATTCCAACGATATAACTAGCGTTGGAACCTTGTTTTGACATAGAATCTTTCTTATTTTTTTCAATTGTCCAATTTTCATTTAGGTCGATTTTTTTTTGGTTTTTTTTATACCAAATTCGGAAATAATTGGCTTCTGCGCCAGCTATCGACTCGAAAAAAAAAACAAATATACTCAAATCATTTCTCGAAATTATGCTGCTGAGAAAAAAAATGGCCCGCAGGTTGACAAAAAGTT